CCCCCAGACCCCGCTGCACGCGGCCCCGTCACTCCCACCCCCCCTAGGCAGCCAGTCTGCAGCCTGGGCCCTCACCCGCACCCGCTCGCCACTCCCGCAAGCCTGCGTATGTGTGTCGCATTTTTGTTGTATCATACATATGTATTATACTCATTACGGGCCTCATCCGCGCCGGACGACACCCAACCCCCGCAGGACCAATTCATAGGGGCGCTCAAGGCGGCGCGGGCCTTCGCTGCCACCGCCTCCAGGGATTTGGGGCTGGAGGTGTTCCCCTATTCCGTGTTTCACGTGTTCTTTGAACAGTACCTTACGCCTGTCAGGTGGGTGGGGCCGCTGCGATTGTTGTGTCTGTCAGGTGGATCGGCGGCGCTGTGTGTGTATATGTGTGTGTGTGTGTGACAGAGAGAGAGAGTGTGTGTGTGTATGTGTGTGTGCGAGAGAGAGAGAGAGAGAGAGAGAGAGAGGGGCTGACGGGGTTCGCTGACATTCGGTCCAGCGGCGGTCGACCAGCGAACCGCAATTGCGATCCGCTTGCGCAGCCTTTTTTGCTCCACCGTCTCTGTCTCCACACGCCCACTCACGCACACACATACACCACGTGAAGGAACCACCCACACAACCCACACACACGCACACTGTCTCGTGGACCCCACCCCCACCGCCACCCCCGCGAACCCCAACCCCGCAGGGACGCGGCCTACATGGTGGGCCTGCCCTGCCTGGCCGTGACCGGCGCGGCCTGGGCCTTCACGGGCAGCCTGTGGGCCAGCGCCATCCTGCTGCTCATGCTGGCCAGCCTGCTGCTGCAGCTGGGGGGCGCCATGTACCTGGCAGGAATCCAGGTCAACGCAGGTCAGCAAGAATGCCCAAATACATAGGATGCGCGCTGTGCGCCGTTCGGGGCACTGATTTTCGGCTGTATTTTTGGGCTGTGTTTTCGCTCGGGCGCGTCGGGGCTCGACTCGGGCAGCGGGCGCGCGATGAGAAGGCGGCGGTGGTCGCAAACACCTTTGCGGCACGTGCTGCCGGGTGCCTTCACACGCGCCACCCCGCCTCCCGCCACCGTTCCCTGTCCCCCCCCTCAATCACCGCAAAGACCACCACCACACCCCTCCATAGACCCCATGCCACGACCCTGTTTACGGTCCCCACACCGCAACCCTGCTTGCGACGCCCACCCACAACCCTGTTTGCGCCCCCACCACCCCAACCCCAGTGTCCCTGGTCAACTTGGCGATGGCCCTGGGCATCGCGGTTGAGTTCAACGCCCACATCCTCCACTCTTTTTGCGTCACCCCCGGGCCCCGCCCCTACCGCGCCCGCGCGGCGCTTGTGAAAATGGGCGCCTCCGTCACCAGCGGCATCACGCTCACAAAATTTGTCGGCGTCGTGGTTTTGGCGTTCGCCAAAACCCAGATCTTCGAGGTTTACTATTTCAGGCTGTACCTCGCACTTGTGGTCCTGGGTGCGGCCCACGGGCTGGTGCTGCTGCCTGTGGTTCTGAGCCGCTTTGGGCCGCCCTCCTGGAGCGAGGGCAAGGGCGGCGGCGGCAGCACAGGTGGTGGAGGCGGCGGCGGCAGGGGCCGCCGCGGCGGCAGCGGCGGTGCGCCGAGCTGGCGGGAAGCGGAGCTCGAGTCCGGCCGCGGCCTGGGCGGCGCGGGCGCCAGCGGCGGCGCCAAGGCGCAGGACGAAGCCGGCACGGCGCTGCCGGCGCTCGCTGCGGCGGGGGTGGCGGCGGCGGCGGTAGCTCTCGAGGAGCGCGAGCAGCACGGCGGCGCCGCGGGCGCGGGCGCGCGCGCGGGGAGCGGCGGCAGCTTTGCAGGCGGAAGCTTCAGCGGGGACGAGCTGGAGGGGATGGAGATGGCTGACAGCGTCCTCGGCGGCGACCGCGCGGGCGGGGGCGATTGATAACTCCGTGTGTGGCTCTCACACTCTTGTCGCTCTGATTCTGCGCTTTGGTTTCTCGTCGTTCTAGCACCCTGCACACACTCTTGTCTTGCGCGTGATCAAAGTGCCAAGCGCTGCGCTGCTGCACCTTGCACATAGGCATAGAGTTTGCGCCACATTTCTGGCACGCGTCAATGCACGCGGGGCCAGCAGTAACAAAAGAGTTCCCTGATCTGGCTGCAGCCGTCACTAGGGCGCGTGCCCGGCAGCCAAGGCCTGAATGGCTGAGGTCGGCCGGCTTCCCCTGCGCCCAGGGCAATCCAGCGCGGTGCGTCGGACGGCTGGGCACAATCAGTCAGAACAGGCCACTCAAACATTGCTGCCGCCCAGCAGCCGCTGCAGTAATTGCCTTAGCTCCTCTCGCGCGGCTGCGGGCCCCTGCCCATCGCCGCCAGCCGCACAATCAGCGCCGCCACAGCCGCCGCCGCACCCCCAGCCACCGAAGCCGCAACAGTGGCGGCCACCCGCCGCCAGGCGCGCCAGCAGCAGCAGCTGCGGCCGCACCATGGCGACCGCCGCCGGCCCGACCATCTCCACTGAAGCCAGCCGGCGTAACTCCCTCCGCCAGACTGGCCGCTGCTGCCAGCCCGCCCCATGACCATTTGCCACAGCCGCCGCGTCGCCGTTGGCCGCCCAGCCCTGGGTCGTGAGCCCGTCTGCGCCGCCCGCGGCCGCCGAGCCGCCCTGCATCCATGCTGCCGCCGCAGCCGGGGCCGCCGCACACCAAGGCCCATCCGCGCCGCCAACATCCTGATGACCCACCTCCCCCCAGCCGCCCCTGTACTGGTCGCGGCATCCTGATTCCCAGCCGAACGCGCCGCAGCCGTCCGCCCCGCGCCCGCCGCCCTGGGGCGGCTCGAGGAGCGCCTCCTGCTGCAGCCGCCGCCGCCGCTGGGCTTGCTCCCACAGGCGGCCCTTCAAAGTTTCAAGAGCTTTTGTCAGGTGAGGGTCCAACACGCCCTCTTCGAGCAGCGCCCGCAGCAGCAGAGCCGCGCACTGCGCCCCCAGGAGCACCCCCGCGTCGCCCCCCTCCTGCCCGCCGCCGCCGATATCGGCGCCGCCGCCGCCGCCACCGTCGTCGGGGGCGCCGCCGCAGTCCGCCGGCCCGGCGGCGGCGGCCACGCACAGCAGGCCGAGCAGCGGCGTCTGCGCGAGCGCGCGCGCCGCCACCGCCCTCAGCGCGTCGGCCGCGGCCGCCAGCCGCTGCTGCCGTCCCGAAACGCCGCCGCCGCCGCCGCCGCCGCCGGTACGCTGCCAGGCGACCGCTGACCTGGCGGCAGCTCCCACGGCCTGCAGGAAGCTGGCTGATGTCAGCAGGTCCCCGCTCAGCAGCAGCCACCGCTGCTCCCGCGGCTGCTGCAGCACCGCCGCCGCGCCGTCGGCTGCAGACGCGCCGCCGCCGCCGCCTGCAGGAGCAACGCCGTCGCTGCCCCCACGCCCGTCATCCTGCAGCAGGGCAGCAGCCACGCGGGTTGCCCTGGAAAGCGTATCTGAAAGAAGCTTTGGGTGCCACCTGCTCAGCAGCACCCCTTCAG